TTTCTTTGATATTAAAAATAAATAAACATTATTATTTAAAAGAATATAGGTATATATTTATATGAATAAGATAGTAATAAAATAATTATGAAAATAATGATTTAAACATATAAAATTAAAATATAAATAAACAATGAGTAAAATAAATAAAATTAAAATTAAATATAAAAAGTAATAAAACTTATAATTAAAATTAGTGACTAAATTATGACATATCAAGATTAAATGCTCTAGTTTGAAATATTATGAAAACTAGGTGTTACTAATGTAATTAATCCTTAATTAATTAATTAGAGGTCAAAATAAAAGTTATTAAAGTTATAAAAGACTAAATACGGTATTTACCCTAAATATATATATAAGTATACAGGCTAGGACTAAATTATAAATTAATTAAAATTATAAAACCGAATTGAAATAATTATAATTTGATTTAAGTGACCAATTCGTAAAAGTTACAAACTAAGGGTACTGCGTAGAAGGTTTACCCATAAGCGTAAATGACGCCTATACCCCCTACCCAAAACGACACCATTTGGGAGGGGTATATGAACCCCGAATGGCCGACCCTTCGGGCCATTATTCTTATTTCCTTTCTTCTCATTCTCTCTCTAACTGAGAGAGAATGAGAAACGCTCTGCCTTCTCTCTAAAACGAAGAGAGATACCACCGGCCGGCAACCGTGCTCCGACCCCGACCACAATTTACAAAATACCCCCAAAGCGTAGATCTAAACATCCTAAGGCCCGATCTAAGGCTATTTTAACCTAAAACCCCATAATATATCGTAAATCTACGATTTTCACCTTCGGCGTTTCGGTTCTCCGACGACGTTTGGGGCTCTCCGATGACAGAGTAAGTTCCTCTCTTCTCTTCTCTTCTATTTTTGTTTTTGGTTGTTGTTTCGTTATGCTCTGTTGGTTGTTTGCTTGCTCTCGGGTTCCTCTCTCTGTTGTTGTTCTCTCTGTCTTTTCTCCGTGTCTATGTTTTCTCCTCCTCTGTGGCTGTCTTTTTTTCTCGCAGGTATAGTGGTGGCTTTATAGCCTTGATGAGACTGTCGTCGAACCGGTCCCGAGAGGGAAGCTTTGGTGAGTCACCTATGTGGTGACTCACCCCATAGCTGTGACGTGGACGGTCAGAGTCGTGGCAGCAGAGTTTCTAGAATGTTCGTCGGAGGCGTCGTGGCAGTACTGAAGCGTCGGCAACGGCGGGATGAGACACCTGGAAGAGGTGGCACCGCGTGGTCCCTAGGGTTATGATACCCTAGGGTTTCAAGCTGGAAGCATCTGGAGACCGTTGGATCAAGGCCAGATCCAACGGTGGTGAGCTAAGGCGGTTGGGAGAAGATTCTGAAAACCCTAGAAGGGTTTTGGGTCATGTTTGGGCCTGGATGTAACTGGGTTGTAAATGGGCTTTGTAATATTTAATAAATAATATATAATAATAATTATAATAATAATAAATTTAAATTTAAAATAAAAAAATTGATGTCTACAATTATTGTGTCAATGGTTATTTTCGTTTTGTTAAATTTCAGCTTTAGGTTTTTCATCTTTCTCTCTGCTTTAGACTATCATATATATGTGCCCAGGTCCGTAAGGTTTTCTTGAAGTATGTGAAACGGTCTCGATCAGCTGATAAATTGTACAGAGTCCGCAAAAGAACTTAAGAAGATGATTGCCTTTAACACCTTGGTTGTCACGGAATTGGTGGCAGATATTAAAGGGGAATCTTCTGATGCTCCACCGGAAGAACCTGTTAAAGAGGAAGTAAAACAAAATGATGAAGAGGATGGATGGGAATCCCTTCAGACGCTTAGGAAAATAAGACCTAACAAGGAACTTATGGAAAAGTTGGGCAAGCCAGGCCAAACAGAGATAACACTCAAAAGATGACCTCTCCGAAAGAGACCGTATGGACTTGTACAAGACATACTTGCTATATTGTCTGACAGGAGAAGTCACCAGGATTCCTTTTGGTGCTCAAATATCCACAAAGAAGGATGATTCAGAGTATGTTCTACTAAACCAGCTTGGTGGGATCCTTGGGCTGACTAGTGAGGAGACAGTGGAGGTCCATCGAAGTTTGGCGGAGCAGGCTTTTAGGCAACAAGCTGAGGTGATTTTAGCTGATGGACAGTTAACAAAGGCTAGGATTGAGCAGCTCAATGAGCAGAAGAGTGTTGGCTTGCCTGGAGAATATGCACAAAAATAAAAACTAACAAAATGTCAGCTGCCATTGAAACAGCTATTGGTCAAGGGAGACTCAACATGAAGCAGATAAGGGAACTTAAGGAATCAGGTGTTGATTTAGACAACATGATCACAGGGAGCTTGCGAGAAAACCTTTTCAAGAAAACTGTAGATGAGATTTTCTCATCAGGCACTGGAGAGTTTGATGAGGAAGAAGTGTATGAGAAGATCCCAACAGATCTCAAGGTCAATCCTCAAAAGGCAAAAGGGGTCGTTCATGATCTTGCACGGACTAGATTGTCCAATTCCCTTATTCAAGCTGTGGCACTACTACGGCAGAGAAATCGAGAGGGAGTGGTAAGGAACATTGGGAAGCTTGGTTTCTGTACGATAGTTTTTGTTGTCAACATACTTGAATATGTAATAAGGTCAATTAATTGCTAGATTCTAAATGCTTTGTTGTTGGTTTTTTAGGTTTCCTCACTTAATGACTTGCTAGCTTGTGACAAGGCTGTGCCATCGGAGCCGTTATCATGGGAGGTTCCAGAAGAGGTAGCTGATCTTTTCAGTGTATATGCACAAAGTAATCCTGAGCCTGAAAAGTTGTCACGTTTGCAATATCTGCTCGACATAAGTGATTCGGTGGCAGAAGCTGCCAAAGAGATGGGAGAGGGAGCAGCATCAGTCGGAGCAGAGGAAGAAAAGTTCGTGTTTTGAATGTTTGCATGAAATGTAGAACCTGTTGGTTAGGAAGTTCATTTTGAAGGCCTTTTATGTTATTGAAGTTGAAGAGTGTAGTGGGATTAGTGATAAAGGTGTTTGATCTTGGTTGCTTCTGTTTTCTTTGACACTTATTATATGTACTGAATGGAGAGAAAGGTATTTCCACAAAAAAAGAAGATATTCCCTCTTTATATATAATAATAATAAGCTCAACATCATGATTTTGTTAATGCAAATCACATATGAGATGATTATCATCTGCTATTGTATTTATTTTATGTACACGCCTTCAGAACTTTGGTAGCTTCTGAAAAGAAAATGACCCACTTTCGTCAACATGCATGAAGTAAGTGATATCCAATGACATAGTTTCCTTGCTATCAAGTGAAATTGCATGATTCTTTGTAAGAAAGCAAAGCTTATCAGAAGCAGGGACTTCAATTGGCACCTGTGTACCAAGTGAGTAATTCTTTAGCTACGAATATAAAAATGCTTAAAATATTTTTTTTCGTATAGAATTCTTCCAAAGATAATGCAACTATTTAGACAGCAGAAACGCCCAGAATAACAACAAATTTTGTTCGCATTTTTGTAGTGTTAGGTGCAGCACTTTCCATGATTATCCGCATAAGCCATAAATTATGGTCGAGGTCACCATGAGAGTGCTACTGTGAGTTTTTTCTCAACATAAGCTAGCTATTAATCTTATTTTCAGAAATAGTGTAATATTAAACTCTATTCCTAAAAAGGGTAATGTAGTACAATTAAACTCCATGTCAGCCTAAAAATCCCATGTCACTCTTCTCCTTCAATCATCTCCTTCTCTAATTCTAGACACTTCAGAAAGTCTAAGAGTGCCCCATATTTGAATATGTTCCCTTTACCAAGTGTTTTAGACTTTAGCTTAGCAATGTCCTCCACCTATGGAGCTTGCAATAGTCTTGACTTTCCGAGGAGTCTATTGTCTTTCTTCAGACGCATACTGAAAGGAGATCTAGTTTCCCTGCAGCAAGTAAAGCTTCAAGCAGAACATGGAGCTTTGCAGCTCATCTTATCCAAGAATTCCAAGTATTGAGCAAGATATTTGGTTCTCTTCCATTATCATCTATTGCCAAATAAATCAAAAATGGTTAAGGATGAATTAGTAGTTTCTATAAATAAAAAAATATAAAAAAACAGTGAGAAAGTAAAGAATGAAAAATGTGGAAGTAAAACAACTTAAAGAACATTCATTTGTCGTGATTTTTTTTCCTTTTTCTTTTAAGCTTAGCAAGAAAATGCTATTTTGATGGAGTAAATAACAGATGAATGGTAGGATACTCAAGGCAAGGTAGCATATGTTTCAGGTTAAATGATGTTTATGTATTTACTGATGTTGTCAGTAGGTTTCTTGAACTGTGTGAGTTTTGTTATGTAATCTGTTTTGTTTTTGGTGTGGAAACTTGAATGTAGGAGCGGTTGTGCGGTGTTCTGGTGTTGATTTTTAGATTCTGGGATGTTGTATTAATCGGTTATTTGCTCTATAAATAAAAACTGTATTTTCTTGCTAAGCTTAAGTATTTTTCTAGAAAAAAGACACCACGATGAATGTGCTGTAAATTGTTTTGTTTTCAGAATTTTTTTTCCTTCACTTTCTCATTATTTTATTTATAGAAACTGCTAGCTGGTCCCTAACTAATGTTGATTTATTTGGCAAAAGATAACAATGAAGGTAAATCATAGTTGCAGACTTTCTAAAGTTTTCGGGAGTTAGAAATGGAGATGATTGAAGGAGAGGGGTGACATGGAATTTGTAGACTATTTGTATAACATTACTCTTATTTAGGAATAAAGGTTAATAGTACTCCATTTTTGCAAATAAGATTATAAACTACCTTAATTTGAGAGAGAAAAAAAATGTTGCCTACAAAAACATCATGCATAAATTAACATACTCCATCGAAAAGAAAAGAAAGCTCTTCCTGCATACATTGTAGGTAGGAGATGCTCGCTCTTCCTGCATACATTGTAGGAGATGCTCCTGAGGTTAAAAAACATTACCAGATAGGATGCGAACATCTAGAATCACATAGAAAAAACATTTTTTTTGGTGAGAGATCACCAACATATTAAGCGATCTTCTTATGATCAGAGCCACATTCTGGAGCAGGCATACTCCAAGAGAACCAGCATCAAACCATTGGGTTGACGTGCCATTGATTCCTTCTAATTCCAAACTCAAGTGTAATTGTTAAATGTACTCTAAAATATGACATGCCATTGGGTTGTACTGTTAGCAAATACTAGTACTATTTTTCCCCAATCACATTCCAAGTTCAACATCGACTTCACTAACTATTAAATGGATAATAACCCATATAAGGAAGCCAGTAATCCCATTCAATTCCCAGGAATTTGCAGTAGCAGTACAGTGAGTACATTAGGATTTGATTTGCAGTAATTTAGAAAGAAACAAAAGGAGTTAATGAAACCACGTACGTGTACTACCTGTATGCTTATGTCACTGTTGATTGATGTTACGGATTGCTGCGTTGATACTCTTACAATCGAAATCCATGCTCTTCATCCAGTTCTCAAAGTCTCCAATTTCCTAAAAACCAGTCGTAATTAAGTTAAAAGAGTAAAGGACGAGTGAGATGAGATAAGAAAGGGGAGAAAACCTTAACAGCAGTGTTAATGGAGTGAGAAGCAGCGAGCCACTGATCGGTCTGCTTCATGAAACGAGCAATGGTAGAAGCCAAAACACGAATCTCCGCCTCGATTCGCTTCTCGTTTACAAACGACTCTTGCACACCGCCGTTCACGGCCTCCACCAACAAATCCGACACTCTCCCCGCCTTCCTGATCGCTTCTTTCTTCGCTTTCTCTGTTCCAATCAAATTCCTTCCAATAAATTATTTCAATTAACTCAAAAACGAAATTAAGAGGGGGAGAGGTGAAAATAACCGGACCGGCCTGATCCCGGAGCTGGAGGAAATTTTGGTGGTGATGGTTGTAGATTTGGATTAGAGAAGATTCGAGATCTCCTATGCCGGGGTGGGATTTGTTCATCTTGGATGAGGATAACACGCGCCCAAGCGTCTGTGGAAGCTGCGTTGGGTTCATTTCCTGTGTTTGTGTTGCGTTGTGCTGTTTGTTAAGTCAACTGCTTTAACAGTAACACTATTCTGTTCGGACTTACATTTATTTTAAACATTTTTATTTATAATTCAATTTTACTTTCTCTACAATTTTATAAGTTTTTTAAAAATATTATAAATTCATTCTCTTACTATAAAATTTTATATATGTTATTAATTTTAAATTTTATAATTTTAAAAAAGATATAAATAAAAAATCATTTAAAGAATTAGTCATGATTTAAAAGGTATATTTTTAAATAAAATTATCGATAATTGATGTCGGTTTTGCCCAGCTCCGATAACCTCCAATCGATACTGGGACCAGGGCCGGTTTTGGACCTGTGCGGACTGTCCAACCGCACAGGGCCCAATATTAATAAGGGCCTCCAAAAAGAAATTAAGTCAAGGCCTACATTAAATAATATTTGACAAATTATAAAAAGTAAAACCAAGATATTTGACTATTTGCCTCCTCTCTCCTCTATAGAAACAGAAACACACTGCAAAGTAAAAAAAAAATACAAAATTCTCTGCGCTCTCCTCCTCTCCTCTACGACTATTTTCCAAGGTTAGTAAATGCTTTTATTATTATTTTATTTTGTCAAGATTATTAGTGTTTTATTTTTAGTTTATTAATAAAAATATAAAATAATTAATTATTTATGTATATGTGATGTTTCAGATTTCAGTGTTTGCCTCTCCCCTCATCTCCTCTGCGATTGCACTTTTCTCTTTTTCAAGGTTAGTAAATATTTTTTATTATTACTTAATTTCTTTAAGATTATTAGTTTTTATTTTTTGTTTATTAATAAAAATATAAAATAATTAATTATTTATGTATGTGTGATGTTTCAAGATTATTAGTGTTTGATTATGCTCACTTTTCTATAGCTTTATTTTTTATATTTTAAATTATTTTAGGTGTAATTTATGATTTTTAATTCTATATATAATATTAGACTAATAGTTAACTAATAGTAGTGTAAAAGCCACATTTAATTAGTTAAACTCTATCAAACAAACTATAATGATTCATAATTTTATTATAAATCAAACAAAATAGTAATAGTAAAGTATTTGAGTTACACACATATCTTATGTTTGAAGTTTCTAATTGTATTTGTATTGGCTATTTATTGAACATGTTCAGAGATTATGCCTCCTAGGTTAAGAAAACATGAATCAGGACATGAAAAACGTCAAAAGAGAAAAAGACTCGAAGAACTCATTAAGTCTCAGAGTGGAGCTCTAAATAAGTTTATTCAAAGAGAACCACAAGTTTTTTCTCGAGATCAAAATGTTGTTAATGATCATGTTAATGATGTTGATGTACATGGCGAAGATGTTGATGATGCTAATAATGCTAATGTCGATGATGGCGATATTGATGGTGAAGGTGCGGATGATGTTAATAATGACCATGTTGATGTTAATCATGTTGATATATTTGATCCGAGACGTTGGGATGATCTTAGTTCTGACATGATTAAGGTTCTAGTATTAGAGGGTCCTAAAAGAGATATGTCATTTGAGAAGGGTCCTAAAGATAAATTTTCAAGATGATTTTCTGCCGCTTTATATACTAGAATCCTCCCAAACAATGAGAAGGTGGATAGAGAATAGCTAGTATATTCCAAAGAGCTTGACAGAGTTTTTTGTTTCTGTTGTAAAATATTTAGGAAAGGGCTTGCAAAAGGTCAGTTAGCTAATGACGGTTTTGCAGATTGGCAACATCTTAGCACCAGACTTAAAGAGCATGAAGTTGGCCTAGAACATGTCACAAACATGGCTACTTGGCTTGATATGCGTCAGAGATTAAAAAAGAATGAAACAATTGATAAAGTGGCACAAGAACAATTTGAAAAAGAGAGAGATCATTGGAAGAAAGTTCTTCAGAGAATTATTTCAATTGTAAAGTTCCTTGCTAAACATAATTTAGCTTTCCGTATATCGAACGAGACGTTGTATCAAAAGAGCAACGGGAACTTTTTGGGTTTAATTGAAATGTTGGAAGAGTTTGACCCATTTATTAAAGAGCACGTGAGACGTATCACAAGTGATAACATCCATGTTCACTATCTCAGTCATACAATCCAAAATGAGTTAATAACTTTACTTGCACATGCAATCAAATCAGATATCATAAAAAAAGTTAAGCAAGCAAAGTATTACTCAGTGATACTTGATTGTACCCCAGATTCCAATCATCAGTGTTGAAAACATTTTTGATATTTCGATATAACAAATTAAGTTAAATGAATTTTAAGATTTTACAAATGATTTTACAATTTTATATTCGATTCAATTAACCGAATATCAAATTATTACTCCAAGTTTTTCAAGATCAATTTTAAACCTTACTAAATGTGTAAAATTGTGATTTGTACTTAAACTATTTTTGAAACAATTTTCACAAAGTATTTTGAACCAAAAACAAGCCTTAAGTCAATTATTCAAAGGCATGCACCGATGCATCAGTCCATGCATCGATGCATCGATGAATTAATTGAACATCGAATGCATTCCATGCACCGATGCACTCTCCATGCATCGATGCACTCTGAATATTTTCAAAACATCGAATGCATTTGATGCATCGATGCACAAGCCATGCATCGATGCATCAGGCTATTTTTCAAACATCGAATGCATTTCATGCATCGATGCACACTTGGTGCACCGATGCATCAAGTGTTCCAACAGTCAAAATATTTGAATTTTACACAAATGCACCGATGCATACTTGATCATGCATCGATGCATGAGACGCTCCACCTAGAAAAATTAATTGTTTTCACACTTAAACGGCTCTATTATCCCCACTAATTATCACCAACGTTCAGAATTGATTCAAGGGGTATTTAAACAAGTTCTGGAGCCATTGATCAAGAACAAGAAACATCAAGCAACTAGAATCAAGAGAGAATCAAAGAGAAAGCATCAAACCTCAAGTTTGAGCATTTCAAGCCTATTTTCATTCAATATTCATTTTGCTTTCAAGAACACTTTTTGTGCTCAATTGTATTCATCTTTGAGTGTTCTTTTCTTTGTTCTAGAATTGTGCAAACATCTTACCTTGTGAGGTTTTCTTGTAAGTTTGCAAATTTGTAATCTTCTTTTTGGGAAAAAGAGTGTTCTCAAGAGTTGGGGTATACTCTCGAGGGAATTGTAAGGTTATCTCTTTGGCCTCAAAAGAAAGAACAAATTAGTGAATTTGTTGGAAAATCCTTAGTGTGGATAGCTAAGGTAGTGGACGTAGACTTTATTTGAGAAAGTCAAACCACTGTAAATCGCTGTGCAATTACTTTCAATTTTCTGCAAAAGCTTTCACAAAAATTTTAATTGCCAATTCACCCCCCTCTTGGCCGATTCCGTCAATCGATTAACTCAACAATTGGTATCAGAGCCTCACTCATTTGAAGGTTTAATCGCCTCTTGAGTCGATTCGGGAAGAGTTACATCGATTACCAAGTCATCAATGGCCTCCACTTCAAATTACGACTCCGGTCTTGATTCGATGCCCGTCAACAAGCCTCCTTTCTTCAATGGAGCTAATTACGCCTATTGGAAGAATAGAATGATGTACTTCATTCAAGCAAGTGACATGGGAGCATGGAATGCCGTAGAAGAAGGATACATCAAGCCTATCACTCATCCAAGGTTGTGGAGTGAAGGAGAGACAAGAATGTTCCAGCTCAACTCCAAAGCCATCCATATTATTTTTTGTGCTCTTGGACCAGATGAATACAGAAGAGTTTCATCGTGTACAACCGCCAAAGAAATATGGGACAAGCTTCAAGTCACACATGAAGGTACATATGAGGTAAAGAAATCAAAAATTAGTATTCTAACGCATAGCTATGAAAATTTCAGGATGAAACCAAATGAAGACATCAAAGCTATGACGGATAGATTTTCAACGATTGTCAATGGTCTCAAATCATATGGAGAGATCATCTCAAATGAAAAGCTTGTGAGGAAGTTAGTCTACTCCCTCCCAAAATCATGGCAATCAAAGAAGACGGCAATTATCGAGTCTAAGGACCTATCGTCCTTAACTCTTGAAGAACTTATCGGTTCACTCCTCACTCATGAGATGATGCTCGAAGATGAGGTGGACCTTGATAAAGTTGAAGAGACACCAAAGGAAAATGAGAAGAAGAAAAATATTGGAGTTGCTCTCAAATCCACAAAAGATGAGAGTGATTCTAATAATGATGATGATGACGAGGAAATGGCATTGTTTGCCAAACGGTTCAGAAAAATGATGAGACCTTACCAAGGAAGAAAATTCAAACGAAACGAAGGCCTCAAAAATGAACCAAAAGAGAAGGACCCAATCATTTGCTATGAATGCAAAAAGCCGGGGCATGTCAAATATGATTGCCCACAATTGAAGAAAAAGGGTTAATCAAAGAATAAGCACAAGGCTCATGTGGCTACATGGAGCGATGAAGAAGGTTCCGATGAAGAGGAACAAGAAGTAGCAAACTTGTGCTTGATGGCATTCGGGGAAGATTCTAAGGTAACCTCTAACTCATCCGATTTTGATGATTTATCTTATGATGAGTTATTCGATGAGTACAATGGGTTGGCTTCGGATTATGAGAAATTGTTTTTAAAATATAAAAATGATGTTTCAAAATTGAAAAATGAAAACAAACTCATATCCAAAACCAACAACGATCTTGAAAGTAAAATCAAAGATTTGTAAATCAAACTAGAAGAGTTTGAAAAGAAAAATTTAGATTTGCAAAATTTACTTTCAAAGATCAATGATGATCATCAAAAGAAAATTGATGATCATAAAACTTCTTTTGATAAAGTTGGAACAAAACATTTTGAAAAATGTGGAAATTCAAAATCCAACTTTGTTAGAAAAAGTTTTAGAAACTACAATCATAGAGGTCCCCAAAGAACCTCTAATGAAAAAATCATTAGAAGTATGTGGGTTCCTAAAGAACTCATTACTACTAAAGATAAAATATCCTACACAAATGGATACCTAAGGGGACTAGGATTTTGGAAACTAATGAATATGGACCCAAAAGAATTTGGGTACCAAAAATCAAAAATTAATCTATGTTTGTAGGGAAAAGAGCATTGCTACAAGGCACGGGAAACAAATTCAAACTCATGGTACCTTGATAGTGGATGCTCAAGACATATGACCGGATACAAAAGCCGGTTCATTGAGCTTAACGCCAAAAATGGAGGAGAAGTGACTTTTGGAGACAATTCAAAATGTCACATTGAAGGTATTGGTACAATAGGTAATATCTCTTCCATACAAATTAAGAATGTTTTATATGTGAATGGATTAAAGCATAATCTATTGAGTATTAGTCAATTATGCGATAAAGGATTCAATGTCTTATTTGAAATTAATGGTTGTAAAGTCATTGACATTGCATCTAATCGGATTATGCTTGTTGGTCATAGAATAGGAAACATTTACATGGTGCATTTAGATTCTATTGATATGACTAATTTATGCCTAGTTGCTAAGGATGAGCATGATAGTTGGTTATGGCATAGGAGATTAGGTCATGCTAGTATGAGTGTTTTGCAACGGTTAATTCAAGGAGACTTAGTAAGAGGGTTGCCTAAGCTTAAATTTGATAATGATAAAATCTGTGATGCTTGTGCTAAAGGAAAACAAAAACGAGTTTCTTTTAAATCTATTAATGATGTATCAACTAGTAGAGTATTACAATTGATCCATTTAGATCTTTTTGGGCCAACTAGAACTACTAGCTTGGGAGGAAAACAATATGCATTTGTCTTGGTAGATGACTATTCTAGATACACTTGGGTTCTATTCTTAAGTACTAAAGATGAAGCATTAGAAAATTTCATCACATTTTCAAAATATCCAAAATGAAAAGGTTACTCTATCACTAGTGTTAGAAGTGATCATGGAACTGAATTTGAAAATCTTGGATTTATTGAGTTTTGTAATTCTAATGGTATTAGCCACAATTTTTCAGCACCTAGAACCCCTCAACAAAATGGAGTTGTTGAGAGGAAAAATCGAACTTTAGAAGAAATGGCTAGAACCATGCTTTGTGAAAATAATTTGCCAAAATATTTTTGGGCGGAAGCCACAAATACCGCTTGTTATGTTGTAAATCGAGTAATGATTAGGCCAATTTTAAAGAAAACTCCATATGAAATTCTCAAAAATAAAAAGCCTAACATTAGCTATTTTCATCCTTTTGGATGTAAATGTTTTGTTTTAAACAACGGTAAAGAAAATCTTGGTAAATTTGATGCTAAAAGTGATGAAGGAATTTTTCTGGTTATTCCTTAAATTCTAAAGCTTATCGTGTATTTAATAAAAGAACTTTAGTTGTAGAAGAGTCTATACATGTTGTTTTCGATGATAATCCCCTTCCGAGGAAGGATTCTTCTGTTAATGATGATGTAGGTATTGTACAAGCAAATGACGTTAGACATGACGTTGGAGAATCATCATCAAAGGAATAAACAAAGATGAGGAAACTCATGATCCCCTCGAGAATCCAACCATTGAAGAAAGGGAAGTATCTTTTCCAAGAGAGTACAACTATGTCAAAGATGGTGAAATTATAGGTGATCCATCAAAAGGGGTAACTACTCGATCTTCTCTTAGAAATATCTGTAATTATGTTGCATTTATTTCATGCATAGAGCCTAAGAACATCAAAGAAGCATTAAAAGATGAACATTGGATTATGGCTATGCAAGAAGAATTAAATCAATTTGAGAGAAGTAAAGTATGGACATTAGTTGAAAGGCCTAGTAATAAATCTACTGTAGGTACTAGATGGGTTTTTAGAAATAAACTTGATGAAAGTGGTAATATAGTGAGGAACAAGGCTAGACTTGTTGCTCAAGGCTATACTCAAGAAGAAGGCATAGACTATGATGAAACATACGCTCCCGTAGCTAGATGGAAGCATTAGAATGTTATTGGCATTTGCATGTTTCAATGAATTTAAATTATATCAAATGGATGTTAAAAGTGCATTTTTAAATGGTTTTATAAAAGAAGAAGT